CCCCAAAACCCCAAAACCCCATAATTCGTAATATAGATGCTCTATTAGAACTTTTGATTAAAAATTAGTTGGCATATTACTAATAAAAAAAATATAATTAATAAATTTAATATCAAATTTTAAGATAAAATGAGTTCTGAAGGAGATAATATGGAAAATACTGATCAGCAGTATTAATAAATTCAGCGTGATGCATTTGCCATAAGATACCCAAATAAAGCTGAATTACTAGCATACTTTGCTTTGATTGTTATTGAACCTGGATCCGATGAATTAAGACTACCTTTGTCCCTTTAGCCAAGATATTCGGATCACTTTGAGAATTTCCTCTTTGTAGTATACTCTGAAAATCCACCAGCAGCATTGATCAGTGACTTTCAATAATATGAATGCGAAGATAATGGCTTACCTAGAAATGTTTTGATCCTAAGATAATAAAACAAAAATATGTTGGATAGATTAATTGGCTACTATATAGGAAAATCCAACTCAAAAATAAATGTAGTCAGCAATACGACCTTATTTCATGAATTTTAGTCTATTGCTAGAGAGTATATAGATGATACTTTGGAATAAAAGATCTGCATTCATAATCCAAAAGTATTTAACATGATTTTAGAGAAATAATTCTTGCTAGCTGAGCAACAGTTTTTTTCTCAGTCAGATGAAGATAAAAAAGTCATTCGAGCAGTTATATCTCTTCTTTTAAAGCAATTAAAAAGTGCCCCTGCTAATATTCCGACTAAGCTGTTTAGCTTGTTAAATACAATACATGGGCTTGTTAAAGGAAGGATAGAAACACTTAGACTGCAAGATTCAGTTAATTCCGAGAAAATAGTAATCATGATCATGCATGAATTTGTAGTCAATAAAGTATTTTTGGTACATGACTCAATTCATTATTAATTTGCTACAAGATGTTTTACTCATCTCTAATAAATTGATAAGCTCATGGAAGTTAACCAGGATTTATCAATTCTGGAGATTCCAGATACAGAAGATTCGTCTATGAGCATCGATTAGAATAGAAGTATAAGCTAAAATGATATATCCTAGTAGTCCATCGTTGAAAACACGCCAAGCCAGAATGAAATAAAAAATTCTGCAACGAATAGTGGAGATAATTAACAGAATGCAAATCAGCAATAAATGCCTGAGGAATTTAAAGCTTGCGTCTACAACTATGTCAAATAGACTGCTAATACTTTCTTAGAGTCATTTGTTCGAGCTAATACAATAAATATTAAGAAGCCCAAAAGTTTACTTATGTAAATAATAAACCTAGCTAAAAATGAGACCACAAAAAGATAGAAGCAGAAGATTGTTAATGAAGTGGAGAAATCATTTAATATAGAATGTTAGAAGTTTCCCTCTTATTAATAAGTGATCGTCTTGAACATTGCTCTAATTTTTCACAGGGAAAATTGCTTCAGATTTATTTCTGAAAAAGACATTTAATACAATACACTAAACATAGAGACTCTTGCTAGATAGAAGGTAGATCAAATTATAAAATAAGGAAGTCTCAAGTTTAGTCTTAAATTGGCAGAGAATTTCTTCATGAATCCAGTCCAAGAGATTAACCAAATATTATTAAAAGAAAAAGAGGCTGCTAATTCAACGATAGATGCTAATGAATAGGGACATTCTCAAAGTTAGTCAAAATTTGTTGGAAGTTAAGGTTAAAATTTAGAATAAGAATCAACTACTGTTGGCTCAAATATTAGTTATGATAGTTCTATAAATTAGACTAAATAATATGATAGCAAGCTCTACGATTAATTTCAAAGATCTAAACTCTCTCAAAAATCCTAACAAAATTAATACATCTAAAAGCCTGAGAAGAACTTTAATGAGAGCTAATAATAAGATTACAGATAAGGAGGAGGAGATGGATATTAAGGGAATTCAAGAAAGCTTAAACCTATAAAATCAAGCAACAATTAATAATATCAATAGAATAGGAAGTATGATGCTATGTAAAATGTAGAATTTTGAAAAGCATATTGAATGAAATAGAATAGAGTTGAATTAATAATAATATTCAGTTGTTTTGAAAAGGAAGCTAAAATTTGACGTTTGTATGAGTTTATATTTCTTACTTTCTTTAATCAGAAAACATAATTTCTATTTCTAAGTTTTATTGTCATTGATTTATTTTTCTATTTCCCAATAAATTAGAAATACTATCAATCGGGGTTTTGGGGTTTTGGGG